AAAAAAAAAAAAAAAAAAAAAAAAGAATGATAGTAGGGCCGGGGATTTAGCTCAGTGGCATTGTGCCTGCCTCACAAGTGCAGAATCCTAGGTTTGATCCCTGGTACCACACACACAAAAAACAATGATAGCAGAAGGCCAGGCGTGCTGCTGAATGCTGGAATCCTAGCATTAAGGAGGCTGAGACAGGAGGATTGCCATGAGTTTGAGGCCAACCAGGGGTACATAATGAGTTCAAGGCCAGCCTGAACTATATAGCAAGACCCTGTCTCAAACCAAAAGAAAACAAAAAATGATAGTAGTATCTGAGAGCATCCAGGAAGAAGATGACTCAGATAAGTAAAGCAGGGTTCACACTTAGAGAGGATGGAGTATTGGGGGTTAAGGCCCTGTGGGAATCACACGGGTCATGAAGATGTCTTTGCAGTTCAAAGTGAGGCACAACTTGTCTAGGGAACCCGGCCAGCCATCAGACATCAGCCATCATCCAGGCTTCCCAGGACGGGGACTGTTTACGGCAGGGTGCTGAGTGCCTGGGAACACAGGCTGAAATCTGGCTTCCACCTCTCGGAGCTAAGGCTGACGCACGTTCCTGGAGGTGCTGTGGTTTGCCCCACATCCGCCCTCTAGGTAGGAACCCCTTTACCTTCAGGTGAGGGAACCGAGGCCCAGAGCTTGCATGACCTGTCCAGGGCAGTCTGAGTGCTGCCCAGACCACAGGCACAGCGGTGCTCAGCGAGTCGGAGGTGGAGGCTGAGGGCACCGCTCCAGGGCCTGGTCTTCTGCGTCCGGTCGGCCGGGCTGCGCTGATGGCACACACAGGAAATCACCACTTGGTTGCTTTACGAGTGACGGGCGCTTTGCCCCCTGAGTGCTCCTTGGTCAGTATACCCTTTGCCTAAGGAAAAGTCTGTATTAGAAGTTGAGTGATACGGAGAGGACTGTTGGGCACAAAGCGTTAGAGCAGAGAAATCAAAAATCTGTCAGTCCCGAGACAAGCTGAACGTATATACTGCTAAGAGAAGGTTTTCGGTCCAGCAAGGACACGGTGTTGATGAGAAGGTGTGTGCCAGTTTCAGAGGTGTTAAAGTGTCAGGGCAGATGCGTGTCTCAGAATGAACGATACCTGTAAGTGTTTGCTAAAGCCTAGTAAACAAGGCTGCTGTGCTCAAGAGCTGCTCATCCGGCAGGTGCCGTGGGCGGTGTGCGAGGGTGTGGCAGTGGGGAGGGACAGGCAGGGACAGATGAGAAGGGACCCGGAGCCACGGAGGAATTCTGGACTTGAAGAAAGGTCAGAAGGGAACAGTTTTAAGCAGTGTGTGACATGACCCTTTCTTTTTTTTTCCTGGTGCTGGGCTTGAACCCAGGGTCCTCCCACTGATCTACGTCCCCAGCCTTTTATTTTTACTTTGAGACAAGTTCTCACTAAGTCACTAAGTTGCCCGGGCTGGGCTCCAACGTGTGATCCTCCTGCCTCCGCCTCCCCCAGCGCTGGGATCACAGGTGTAGCCGCTGGCTGCAGTGTGCAGAGCAGACTGCAGGGTGACAGCAGGGGCAGAGATGGTGATGCCAGCCAGGTGGATATTGTGGGTTCTAGTGGGAGCTGTGGGGACGCAAGCTACAGGAACAGCAGAGGGTGAAGGGACAGCACAGGGTGACCCAGTGGGCTCAGTGACTGTCAGCTGCAGATGACGTGGGAGGGAACTCAAGGTCTAGCATCAGCTTTGGGGCTTTCTACCATTTGCAAATTTAGACTAGTGGAGAGAGGAGCGGGTGTGATTTAATTTTACATTTGTAAGTTTTGAGATAACTGTGGGACGTTCTGGAAGAGATACCTGGAAAGCAGTTTGAAGAAGTGGTTAAAGCGCCACAGAGGGATCTGTAGCTCTGTAGATCTGGGAGCTCCCAGGGCCGCCCGAGCGTGTCTGTGGCCGGATGACAGCGGCTGCCTTCCTGCGCTCCGCCGACTTCCCTGCAGTCTGTCTCCATTTCCAGAGCTTTCTTCATGCTCCTCACTGCGCTGCGCCTAAGGGCGAGGTCTGCGCGCCCCCTACCAGCCCGGCCTGGTGAACTTGCGTCCCGTACCTTCCGGGGGTCTGTTCCCACGCTCCCCTCAGTGGACAGTGCACAGAAGCTGATTTCCAATGTTGTTTTTATTCTTCGTTGGTTCAGCCCTTCAGGGTTCAGAGGAACCTTAACGTCACTGGCAAGCACCGTTAGGAGCTGAGCAGCATGAATAAGGAGAGGCAGAGGAAGGTGGGGTTGGGGTTTATGCCTGTGCAGGGATGGAGCAACAAAGCAAGTGACTAAAGGTTGGGAAACAGCTGTAATTGGAGCCGTGGATTTGTGGTAGTCATTTGGGACTCACTGAGAGCCTCAGACTACAAATGAGAGATGCTGAGAGAGCAGGACTGTGTGCCAGCGTGAGCTAAATGCGTGTTCCTCGCTTTGTGTCCCTGCGAAATAGGCAGGGAGTCCCGTGGGGACTATCTGCTTAGACTAGACTAGAAACGCAAGGCTGATGCTTTCAAACCGGACCACCAAGGGGCAGGGGCCATGGGTCTGCTAATTGGTTATCACACAGGGCTGCTTTTAACACATTATTGCACGAGTCACGTTATTTCAGAAAATACAGATTAGCATTAAAAATAAAGTAAAAATTGAGCAGATGTGCCTGAGGCATGAGGATTGCTTTGAGTTCCAGGCCAGCCTGCACACATAATGAGTTCAGGTCCATCCTGAACTACAGAGTGAGACTGTTTCAAAAGAGCAAACAAGCCTGGCATGGTGGTGCAGGCCTGTAATCCCAGCACTCGGGAGGCTGAGGCAGGAGGATCTCTGTGAGTTCGAGACCAGCCTGGGCTACACAGTGAGTTCCAGGTCAGTCTCAACTGCTGTCTCAAAAAAAAATAAAAATAAAAATCACCCATAATCTACATTACCTAAAAATAATCATTGGTATTGTTATATTCTATTTGTATCTTTCCTATGCATATTTTAAAGGTAGATACATTTTATAACTTGCTTGTTTTACTAGATCATAGATAATCCTTATAGATTAAAGATTTTCATGTTAATAATTACATTTATGTATTCTACAACGTTTTCATTGGCATTCATTGATTTATGATTTGGTTTTTTAGTTGTTTTGGTTTGGTTTTGTTTTTTGTTTTGGGGGCTTGTTTGTTTGTTTGTAGTGCTGGGGATCAAACGCAGGACCTTGTGCTTGTGAGACAGGCATGGTGCCACTGAGCTAAATCCCCTGCCCCTGGTTTGGTTTTTTGAGATGGGGTCTTGCTATGTAGTTGAGGCTGGCCTTGAACTCACTGTGTAGCCTAAACTGGTCTCAAATTCACAGCGATCCTCCTGCCTCAGCCTCGGGAGTGTTGGGATTACAGGCATGGGCCACTATGCCCCACTCATATTGGAATTAATCGGTGCTATTTAAAACAATTTTTGAAGGCCAGGACAGTGGCTCTGCCGTCTGCCTTGCAAGGCAAGGTCCTGAGATCCATCCCCAGTACCAAAAAATCAATAAAAAAAAAACCCAGAATTTGATTTTTACGAAGATTGGAGAAAATGGCTCTGCACCATGCAGAAAGAGGAGTACAAGACACGTGCACAGCAGCACAGGGCAGGGCAGAAAAATGACAGCAGAAAAGATCAGAGAAACGGGGGCTGGGGGGTCAGTGGCCCTGACAGGGAGGACGCGGGTCCCTCCTATTCGGCAGTCGGTTCCCTCCTCCCTGGATGGGGAGCTAGGGGAGAGAGGCTGCGCTGGGGCCGGGGGAGCCTCCCAGCGGTGGGGAGACCCCGACGCTCCGTCGGCGCCCGGGGTCACGCGTCTGTGTGCATCGCCCGCAGGAGAGAAGCCCTTCATCTGCGAGATCTGCGGCAAGAGCTTCACCAGCCGGCCC